CGGAGGACATCATGGCCGAGCCTTTCCCTCGAGACTTCCGATTCCCGATCGTCAAACCCTACACGGGGGTGACAGACCCTCGGGATAATCTCAACAAGTACAAGGCGGTCATGATGATGACAGGTGCCAATGATGCAATCATGTGTCGCGGTTTCTGCACAACTCTGGACGGTCAAGTCCAAGCCTGGTTCGGGTCCCTACCGACGGAGTCCATCCCCACTTTTGCCGCCCTAACCAAGAAGTTTATGTCACACTTCACGGGCAGCATACAACGAAGAAAACAGATCGTCTGTAACACCCCCTAATTTCCATGCTAAATTAAGCCTTAAATATGCATGTAACTAAACAAAACATCAACACAACGGAAGACTGAAAAAGGATTATATAAACTGGAAAGGAAAGGGTGCTATGCCACGCTCACCCAGAGGTGAATGCACAGGCCAACATCTGCATGTTCATAGTCTAAAATGCATACATAAACAAAGTACTAAAGTCTATCCTTGGCTCACTGGCCATAACAACAAAAAACATGGGAACTACACTAGCAGGTTCTAGACCGCGCTCACGTCTACACATCACCTGAAAGAACACATAAAAGGTGGGACGACGCCCGGTCAGCGAATAATGCTGGTAACCCACCAATACCTGTTAAGTATCATACATAGATAGGATATATATACAAAATCATTTGCGAAACGGGATATAGTACATATCAATTTCAAAAGCCAAGAGCAGAAGTCAACACAAGACTCTAAGCACTCACAACAAGATAAGGGAACACATCCCAAGACCACACGAGATACAACGACTCACAAGAATGGCTCAAGGTATAGTCTACCATCACACAGTAGATTAACACCCGACATGCATAACTCAAGAGAGTAAGAACACACCCAATGGAAACACATGCCTAGGCAACACATGCCTTTGTGACTACACACGTCACAAGAAGAGAAACTCACAACAACGGCTACACAAGCCTTCGTGACATCACTCATCATGAATTGATATGCCTTCCTTATGCCCGGTTCCAACCTTATGGCTACCCCCAACCTTATATCTAGTTCCAACCGTTACCTCCAGGACCCCTGTACAACCAAGTCCAACCTTTTCCCTCCTGGGACCGTCGTCCCCCACCAACAACCACCAACAAGAACACCAATTCATGGTACACGAGGGTACCGATCACACACACGGCGACACAGGCCTCGGCGACACACGCCTCCCAAGAAATACGTGAACCCGACACACAGGTCACAAACTCCACAATCACGTCATGGCCACCACGAGGACCACTGCCATACCTTGTGATTAAGGCCCCATAAACCGAAACCGTGCAATCGAGGTACAGGCACACACACATCACACCACAACAGGAATCAATCAACGGATCACAACGAGATATGAAACCATACTCAATCAAGGAATGGATCACAGTCCAACAACAACAACGATGAATAACACAAGTCATCATCAACGATAGGAAAGTACAAACAACACACATGCTAGCATTTAAACACCGAACCAGCATGCTTATCAAACGGGTAAACCAAACGTAGTTCCGAAGAACACACAAGACTCATCACAGTTCAACGAATCACAATGTTGAACACTTAGCACGATTCAAGACACCAAAACCTACAAGGATTCCTACCATATAGTTCTAGACATATGACACATCAAGAAGACACTCAAGTAGTTTCACAAAAGAACATCAGGAAGTCCAAAGACCAAATACCGAGTCAAAAGAATCACGGGGAACAAATCCCCAAACAACACCATCATGTTCCCCGCGGGTGGACCCACGGGTAAACCCCGACCCGTGGTTCCGCCCGCGGGTACACCAACCTGTACCAAAATATTCCTTCGGGGATTTTCAACTCCAAGCTCAAATTCAAGTCCAAAACATGCCAAATCTCACCAAATATAGCAAAATGAATTGAATCAAAGGAATAGCCAAGCAATGGCACACATGAACCCTAAACACAAGCTCTAGATATGCATTTTCACAAGACAATGCATAAACACTCACATTTCATAGCAAAATCACATGTAGAATCCAAGAAATCATCATATAGGTAAGCAAAATAGATTTTGTAGAGCATGGGTTACCTCTTGTAGACAAAAACCTTCACTTAACACTTCACCAAGCTCCTACTAAGGCTCACCTTCCAAACCCACTTCAGAACACACCAAAAGATCATAAAGATTCTATATTTAAAGAAAGACACCTTAGAAAGCACTAAAAACACAAGATGACCATAGATCTTACCCTCCTAGATGCTCAAATGTATGAAAGGTAGAATCTTGGAGACAACCTTTGAAGATTTGACAAAGCTCCAACTTGGCTTGGAAGAAAAGCTATCTAACTTTTAGAGAGAAGGGAGAGCTCAAGTTTGGGAAGTGTAAGGAGAAAGAATGAGGAGTGTCTACTAGGTTAGTTTGCATTGCTAACACAAGGTGAAATGTCATGAATACCCTTACTAAAATGAAGAGGTGTAAGAGAACAAGGGAACTACTCACAAAGCTTAAGGTACAACCTTGACTTTGGGTTGACTAGTCAATTACTAGTCCCGACTATTGAATTTTCAGGAATTTAATGAATTAAATTACCAATTGGTTTAGGATTAATTACTTAATTAATCCCTTAATTGAATTTGGATTACGGGGTGTTACATCCTCTCCCCCTTCAAAGAAGCTTCGTCCCCGAAGCTCGGGTACGGAAAATTAAAACAAATGGTGAAATGAAACAACCATGTGACAAGAGGGTCAAGAACATCCTCTTTTGGTTCAAACCCAAAAGATTCACAAGACACCAAAGCAAGCAAGAAAGTATATCGACACCAAGATTGAAAGAATTTGACCAACGGATATATTGAGCATATCAAACTCTAAACCAAACACTACTACCAACTTCTAACCAACAACCAAGAACTAACCACTAGCACGAAGCACCAACCAACAAAGCTAACTACTCAACTAAACAAACAAGCAAGAACAACACACAAGGCAAGCAACAAGCAACCAACAAACGGTAACAACAACTAAGAGGACAACCACAACAAGGAAAGGCGAATTGGATTACCACAACGCCGAGCTAGAATGACTAGCTCTCTGACTCATCGGTGCTCTCCTCGGATTCTTCGTCATCCCTTCCTCTACGACTTGAACTGGCCTCAATCTGATCTAGCCTTTGGTGCACGGCAACAAACTGCGTCTTCATGTAAGCGAAACCCTCTTCGATCATTCGATTCTGTTGACGAAGCAAGGTGACTACACGTTCCTCATGCGTCATGGCGTCATGCTCCCTTTTGGTGCGGGCTTCCTTTCTTCTTTGGTTTTCTTCGCTTTCCGAATCACTTTCCTCGGCCTCGGCAGCTTCCGGTGCTTCCACTTCTTCCTCGTGACCCGCTTCACCCTCATTTTCATCATCACCTCCCGAACTCTGGACTACGAGGTTCAACTTTCCAGCATGAATCCCAAGCTCAGCTGCCAACTCGGCTCTTTCTTCGGGGGATTTCCTTGCAACTTCCTCGAGAGTGATGTAATCACCATCGTCCAACTGAAACAAGTTGCAACTTCGAAGATTGGTGGCATCCAACACCATCTTTCCCACGAGCTTCGGTATACAACCATCCACACTTACCCCTTTCCTGACAAGAATCCAGCTCAACACCATCCCATACGGTAGGCTCTTTCGGTTGTGATCACGACAGAAAACCATATGTTGCAACATCAAAGCCGGCAGATTGAACTTGACCATATTCTTGAGACAGAAAGCAAAGGTGCACTCCAACTTTCCCAACAATCGACTTTTGTTGTTATTGGGCAACAAACAATCCGATACCAGCATAACCAAGATCCTTTGCTCCGCGGACAACCACTTTTTCTCTGGCCTTGAAGCTTGAGTGAAACCACTCGTGCGACCCAACAAGTAACTCAAATAGTCTCGGTATCCCATGGTATCCGTACTAATCCACGAGTTACCGCTATACTGAGCAACTCCCGAAGCTGATAAACTTAGAAGCTGAGCTAGCCTCTTTTCAGACAAAACCACTCTCACACCCCTCACTTTAGAGGTGATTTCAAGCTTATCCATATCCTTTCTAACAACCATGTGACGATAAAATTCCTTAACCAAACTTGGGTAGGTCTTGGCCCTTACGGCGAGGATCCCATCTAACAAACCTTGGAATCTAAGCATATCCAACAAAGACGTAGAGAAACATTCCGGGTCAAAAGTTTTACCTTCAAGAACGAGATAATAGGTATCCACCAATTCCGCTTTTCTTGCCAAACTTGACCTTCTAGGCATGATAGGAGATGACCCAAAGCTCAACAAAAGAAGCCCACAACTTTGTTTCTTCGGCTGCACACGGGTAGGGAGAGGGGAAAAGAGAAGAACGATTTGGGAATTTAGGGATTTGGGGGAAATTTGGGAAAAAGATGATTTAATTTGGGAATTTGTGTAAAGTGGAAAATTTATGGTTTAGATGGAATTTAAATTGGGTAAATTCCAAGTAGACGATTAGCTCAAGTGGTTTAGGGGTTGGGTTAACAAAGGGTATGCTCGGGTTCGAAACTCAAGAAAGGGTTTTGTATGGATTTCCTGTTCCAAATTCAAAGAATACTTGGAGAAATTTAGGTGGTTCTTAAAGGAAAGGTTGCAAGAATATCCAAGTGCGAAGATTATGGGATTAACCCAAGCATGCCTCATTTCAAGAATAAACAACTAACTCGACTAAGAGGATCATTCATCAAGAAACTAGGAAAGGATAGCAAAGCGACGACGAAGAAACACAAGGCAACAAGGAACAAGATGCGTTCTAAAGACAAGGGCAGGCTAGGAAGGATAGCAAAGCAACTCAAGTAGACGACGAAGAAACACAAGGCAACAAGGAACAAGATGCGTTCTAAAGACAAGGGCAGGCTAGGAAAGGATTACCTGCTAGTTCCTCCTCCACTAAACCAACCCTCGGTCTCTGCCTGCGAACGCCCCATCACGAATGGCCTGGCACCGGGGCTGCTCCACGGCTCGAGCTACTTCCTGCGGCTCCTCCGGCTCCTGGGGGTGGTGGCAACGCCCTCTGATTGGCTTGCTGGGGGCACTCGGCGACCTTATGACCCCTTTCTCCGCAACGAAAGCACTTAAACGCCTGGCTATGACAAACTTGTCCCACATGCACCTTCCTACATCTACGACAAGGGGACGCCTTGGCTTGATTTCCTTGCTCCATCCGGTTGGGTCCTTGGGTTGGAGATGATGCATTCTTAACTTGGAAATTCGGTCGCGGCTTCTTAAAGGTGGAAGAGCCTCCACTCTCGGTCCTCTTTCTAGCAACCTCATAAGACCCTCGTTGAAGCTGCTGAACACGGTACAGATCCGCGGCACTCAGATATGCATCCTTCAGAGAACTCGGCCTACTCACGGTCAAGGCCTTTCGTGCCTCATAATTCAGACCAGCAACAAATTTCTCAACCTTAGAGAGCTCCGTAGGCACGAGCATCCGAGCGAAGCGCGCCAACTCCAGAAACTTCTTATGGTACTCGACCACTGACAAAGATCCTTGCTGAAGGTGGAGGAACTCCTCATACATCGCGGATCGCACGTGTGCCGGATAAAACCTCTCGCGCATCCTATCCTTAAGCGCAGACCAATCGAACTCAGGCTCCTCAAGATAGGCCGGACCCTCATGACAGTAGTAAAACGTTGCCAGCTCTACCCTCCGCTCTTCGGGACAACCCACCACCGAGAAGATCTTATCGAACACTCTCATCCATTCCTCCAAAACTACCGGGTCTTCTTCACCCGCGAAGGTCGGTGGTCTGTGGCCCGACACCAAACTACCGGGTCTTCTTCATCCGTTGTGAGTCGTTGTATCTCGTGTGGTCTTGGGATGTGTTCCCTTATCTTGTTGTGAGTGCTTAGAGTCTTGCGTTGACTTCTGCTCTTGGTTTTTAACATATATATGTATATTCTGTTTCGCAAATGATTTTACATACGTATATCCTATCTATGTATGATATTTCACATGTATTGGTGGGTTACCAGCATTATTCGCTGACCGGGCGTCGTCCCATCTTTTATGTGTTTCTTTCAGGTGATGTATAGACATGAGTGCGACTAGAACCTGCTAGTGTAGTTCCCACGTTTGAGTTGTTATGACCTGTGTGCCAAGGATAGACTTTAATACTGTGGTTATGTATGGATTTTAGATTATGAATCATGCAGATGTTGGCCTGTGCATTCACCTTTGGTGAGCGTGGCATAGCACCCTTTCGTTTCCAGTTTATATAATCCTTTTTTCAGTCTTCCCCTGTGTTTGATGTTTTGATTAGTTATCTGCATATTTTAAGGCTTAAATTAGCATGGAAATTAGGGGGTGTTACATTTGGTATCAGACTTGTGTTATTCATCGTTGTTGTAATTGGACTGTGATCAATTCCTTGATTGAGTATGGTTTCATATCTCGTTGTGATCCGTTGATTGATTCCTGTTGTGGTGTTATGTGTGTGTGGCTGTACCTGGATTGCACGATTTCGGTTTATGGGGCCTTAATCACCAAGGTTCGGCAGTGGTCCTCGTGGTGGCCATGACGTGATTATAGAGTTTGTGACCTGTGTGTCGGATTCACGTATTTGTTGGGAGGCGTGTGTCGCCGTGTGTGTGATCGGTACCTTGTGTACTATGAATAGGTGGTCTTGTTGGTGGTTGTTGGTGGGGGACGACGGTCCGAGGAGGGAAAAGGTTAGACTTGGTTGTACAGGGATCCTGGAGGTAATAGTTGGAACTAGACATAAGGTTGGGGGTAGCCATAAGGTTGGAACCGGGCATAAGGAAGGCATATCAATTCGTGATGAGTGATGTCACGAAGGCTTGTGTAGCCGTTGTTGTGAGTTTCTCTTCTTGTGACGTGTGTAGTCACAAAGGCATGTGTTGCCATTGGGTGTGTTCTTATTCTCTTGAGTTATGCATGTCGGGTGTTAATCTACTGTGGGATGGTAGATTATACCTTGAGTCGTTCTTGTGAGTCGTTGTATCTCGTGTGGTCTTGGGATGTGTTCCCTTATCTTGTTGTGAGTGCTTAGAGTCTTGTGTTGACTTCTGCTCTTGGTTTTGAACATATATATGTATATTCTATTTCGAACTCTGACAGTACCATTTGAAGCTTTGATTGTTTCACATCACTTGTACCCTCAAATCTAGTTTCAAGAATTTCCCATACTCGTTTTGCTTCTTTTACCCCAGTGACTAGGGTAAAAACATATTCATGCAGAGATCCTACGGTAGAGTTCAGTGCTTTATTGTTCAGATCAGAGGCCGTCATTTCATTTTCTGTCCAAGTCTCAATGGGCTTTGCTGAAGTGGTTCCAATAGGATTCTGAATAGTTGGATAACTCCATCCAGAAAAAACAGTACGATAAACCCTGGTACCTTGTGCCTGGAGATAAATCTCCATACGAGCCTTCCAGAATGAATAGTTGTGACCATCCAATTCTGGTGGTTTCATACTTGCATCCATCCTGAATAAAAAACAACCAGACAAAAACACACAAGCAGCCAAACTGCCAACCAACAGCGAGAGACACTTCCAGAAAAAAGAGAGCAAATGCAAAAAAGTCTTCCCGTATGGATCAAGTCACTATGTAGACTTAAAAGCTCTGATACCACATGTAATTTTGCATTTCCTTAATTTAAGGATATTAATAGGAGTAAATGACTGATGGGTTAGACTGACAGAATCAACGATGATATCAGTCAGTTAGATAGATAGCTGATTTGTTTGCAGAAAGAATAAACTAAGGCAAACAACAAAAACAACACACAAGATGTTTACCCAGTTCGATACAGTGTGTATCTACATCTGGGGGGACGATCACAGAGGCGTCTAATCCACTAACTCATAATCCAATGTACAAAGGTAGAGAAACAATAATCTCACCCAAGTGTCCCACACAAGGTACGTACCCAGTCTACACAAATTTAGTGGATTGTTGAAGTTGCAGAGCCGTGCATACAGAAGTCCAATGAAATCCCTTCACTTGGAGAGCTAACTCTGATGCAGTCCACTTTAGTGACGCAGTCCAAAGTTGTTCCCACAACTGTGTGATCTTAGCGTCCTTTTCGTTTAAGCAACGATATCTCTTCTCAAGTTCTTCATCATAATCAACAAGAACAAATTGTCTTGAGAAGAGGCATGATAATCAAAGATGTGGTCTCTTAATATATCTCGAAGTGTTTCTTTCTTCTCAAAGGCGTAACCCTAATTCATGACTGAATAAGGATACTTATACTTCCATAGCAAGAACACTTTCCATAAACATCTCTGATTGTAGATGGTAGGACGATATGAGAACGATGTAATCTTAAAGATTCGGTCCATACCTTTCCAAGACAGATCCGCTGGTATTCTTTCCAAAGCTGACTTCTTAAACCGCGTTCAGTAAAAAGGAAACATCTTCCTAAAACATATCTTCAGTGTCAGTACGTCTGTTGCTGTATCTGATCAATCAGTCTTCTGTAACTCAAACCGATACCAAGCTAACCCTATCTTTGATTGCCATAATAATATTGCCAATTATATGTTGGGGTTTTTTGAGCAATTAAAACACTAACAAACCCCCCCCCCCCCCCCCCCCTTTGGCTATTATTTGGCAAAACAACTCGACTAAGATAAAAAGACAACCTAGATAGGACAAAGATAACACATGCATAAAAGTGAAAGATTTGAATTACAATTCATAACCAAAAGACAGCATACAAATTATGCTGAAACAAAACATCATTCTTCATACGGATGGTGCCATCACAATCAGACGCCTAGACAGGGCCAGAAGAAACAAAGTCCTACAAAAACACTCCCCCTGAGTTCCACACTCCCCCTTTTTGGCAAAAAATAGTCAAAGAGCAGTCAAGCATTGGAGGGGTCCTCACCGTCGGACTTAGCAGCATCAGCAGCAGCAGATTCAGTCAAGCTCAAGCGGAGAAGAACGGTAGCCAATTCAGTACGGGCCGCAGTCAGCTGCTTCGCAATAATTCCATGAACAGTCTCAAGTTCAGATACCCGGGCCTTCAGGCGAAGAGAGAGTTGAACATCCTTCGCATGTGGAGAATCAGCATCCACATTGTCAGCGTCAGAAGAGGGAGGTGCATTCACCGGCGTAACATCTCGAATGTGCTTTCCAGTCAGAAGACGATGATCAACAGTATACAGAAGAGTCGGACTGATAACCTCACTAGGTATTGGCACAAGGCCCTGCGTTGTCAGAACCCCAAATATAAGGTTAGGAAAAGGTAACCTTACCTTCTGTTCTCGCAAATGAATCAATGTGAGGATATGATAGAAGGTCCATGACCCTAGGTCAATCGTCATTTTAGTTCCAATCCGAAACAGGAGAGCTGCCAATTGCTTGCCAACCATATGAAAATGAGCAGATGGTAGCCAGTTGTGAAGAGCAATACAGTGCAAAATGACATATTTGGAGGTGAGTTCCGAGCTAGACAGAGTATCAATGTCACCCATAGGCCATGCAGAGGTTTTACCACCTGTAAGGGTCTTTGCCACCAAATCCCAGTCCGTGATCTCTTCTTCATCAACACCCTTCAAACCATAATATTCATTTATCACATCTGGACAGAAGACATACTATTTTCCTCGGATGAAGATTTGCATGCACCGCGTCCCTGTCAAATTGTCAATCTCCTCATTAAGATTACAATAGAACTCGTAAGTCAGTAGCTTCGAATACGGAAAGATGGAGGTGACAGTCTTCAAGAGGCCCACATCACTAAGCAAGGGCAAGATGTCGCAAACAGAGTTCAACTGGTTTTCATCAACGGACCTCTGAACTATAAGATCTCTCCGGATCATCGTGGACCATTTTCCTTGAGCAGAAGAAGATACAAACTGAGGTTTATAGATGGTGGTGTCAGGATTCTCCGTAGCAGGGTGAACCTCAGGTGTGGTACTTCATCCTCCTGAGCGAGTAGTTGGTTTTCCCTTTCGGGTAGAAGTAGTAGGAGCCACAGCAGGTGCCTTGGTCTTGACAGATGACCGCAGGGTTTTGAACACTTGTTGCACGGAAGGATTGGCTTCAGTTTTTACTGATTCAGCAGACTTTCTTCTCTTCTCAGGTTGAGCCACATCAAGATTGTCATCACCTGCTTCAACAACAACTTTTACAGGGACACTCTTGCGTTTGAATTTTCTAGTTTCCTTGGATGGGGAAGGCTCAGAAGGGCTTGGTGATACTGAGTGACTTGTGTCTGATACTGGGGCAGATGAGGTTCCTAGAAGATTGGTAATCTCTCGAATCTTGAAAGTGGTTGAATCTGGACGCGCTGTAGCTTCAACAGTAGGGGGTCTAGACACCGGGACTTGTGAGCCATACACTTCAGCAAGAATCTTCTCGTCTTCACTAGAGGACTCAAAAGGATGAATAACTCGATACGGTTCTGGAATCGAGGCAGAGGGTAATCCTGCAAAATGCCGGACGTGTTCCAGGCTCTCGGCCAAAGATGAACATGTAAAGACAGGCACCCCATCTATTTGATCAGATGCATGAGGGCTTGAATTACTGGTAGCCTCAATCTCAGTGGGAAAATTTGAGGGATTATCAGATGGACAGATCTCAATCGGGGACACAGCAATTTCAAAAGAAGGCAGAGCAGATTTCACGGTATCAGTAGAATACACAACCAAACTTAGATTTTTGCCCAACTCAGAGGTTTTAGTTTTCTCATCAGACACAACATCAACATCTTTTGTAGGTTCAGACTTTTTAGAGAGGATACACGGAGGATCAACAGTTACAGAAGTTTTCTCAGAAATTAACGCCTTCGTATTCTCAGATTGAACAATAGGCATAGCAGATTTTATAGCATCGGAATTTAAATCATCAGGCTTGTCAGGAGAGATTTCAATAGGGGATTAAGAGGTATTGGACCTGTTACGAAGAAACTCAATCCGGCGTTTGGCTTCGTCCTGGGCAGCTTGTAGGTAGAGGGGTTGAGCTGCTGCTCGACGACGTCAAACTTCTTCGGATTCAAGAGCCCGTTGAGCAAAATACTGAAGGAATGCCCCAGCACGATTACCATCTGCAGGCTCTGGGATAGATGCAGGACTAACCTCATCACTCGCTTCTGAGGCCAGCATCTAAAGTTCACTGGTGTCATCCTCGGACCAATCTGCATAGAACTCTGGATAATCCGAAAGCACAGTGACCATGATTTCATCGCGTAGATCAGATTCAAGTTTCAATTTCTTCTTCATAGCTAACTGGAGTAGTGTTTTGACATGCTTAGTGGCTGTTTCCGGTGAATGGATCTTCCTCGCAAGCTTGATAATGATATTTTTTACAGCGTCTGCCATTGTTGTGCAATTTGGGTATGCGAGAAGATAAACCCTAGGTAGAGGAAAAAAAATCAGAGAACAAGGATATTTTGAACTCTTCTTCCTTCACACTTGACCCAAAACTCATATATAATCCCAAGGGCGAATAACCCTATTCAATGCGGCTTGTCAGAATGCATGCAGAGCTGATGTGATTGACGCAACGGTATACCTCCTTTTTAGGGATGAAACGGAAGAGTCGAAGATTTGAATTTCGAAAAGGCGAATTAATTTAAGGTAAGAGGGGTTAAGATATTATCTTAACAAAAACAGAATGGAGATTTAAAAGGAAGTTAAAGGCTGAATTTTGACCCGTAAATGTGACACCATATACTCTCCTTCTGTATATCTTACTGCCTTATTAATCAATCCTGCAGATTCCCAGAGCAGATCTGAGAATCTCAAACCGATTTGCATCCAGGGGCTTAGTCAGAATGTCAGCCAATTGCTTATCTGTTTGAATGTATTCCAACTCTATTTCCTTGGATTCTACCAAATCTCTGATGTAGTGATGCATTATATCAATATGCTTCGTTCTGGAATGTTGCACTGGATTCTTTGAGATATTGATGGCACTGACATTATCACAGTAGAGTGTCATAATTCTTTGAGTAAGCCCATTGTCTAGAAGCATCTGTTTCATCCACACCAACTGAGTACAACAACCTCCAGCGGCTATATATTCTGCCTCTGCAGTACTTAAAAAAATCGAATTCTGTTTCTTGCTCAGCCATGATACCAAGTTCTTTCTAACGAAGAAGCATCCACCCGAAGTACTTTTTCTGTCATCAATATTTCCTGCCCAATCAGCATCACAGTATGCAACCAGACTAAGCTCACTATCCTTGGAGTACCATATACCATATTGAATTGTTCCTTTGATATACTTCAGAATCCGTTTAGCAGCTATCAGGTGCGACTCTTTCGGATCAGATTGATATCTTGCACAGATTCCAACACTAAACATTATATCTGGTCGACTAGCGGTTAAGTAAAGCAGACTTCTTATCAGACTTCGATATACTGTGTTATCAACTGATGCACCAGTGTCATCTTTGGATACTTTAGTGCAGGTAGAAATAGGTGTCCTGGATGGTTTACACGATTCCAGATCAAACTTCTTGACCAAATTCTTGGCATACTTTTCTTGTGAGATAAAGTACCCTTCAGGACTCTGTTTTACTTGCAGCCCTAGAAAGTATGTCAGTTGGCCAACCATGGACATTTCAAATTCTTGTTTCATGACCTTTACTAAATCATCAGTTACTTTTGTAAAGTAGAACCAAAGACAATGTCATCCACATAAATCTGAGCAATGGTAACATGACTTCCAGTGGTTTTTACGAACAGGGTTTTATCAACACTTCCTCGCTTGTACCCATGGTGTAGCAGATACTGTGTCAGTCATTCGTACCATGCCCTTGGAGCTTGTTTGAGACCATAGAGGGATTTTCTGAGCTTGTAGACATGAGATGGATGATCTGGATCTTCAAATCCTTTCGGTTGAGCCACATAAATATCTTCATGTAGGTACCCATTCAAAAACGCTGTCTTAACATCCATCTGAAACAGTGTGAATCCCAGAATACATGCAACTGCCAACAAAATCCTTATCGACTCTAACCTTGCCACAGGAGCAAACGTTTCATCATAGTCAATTCCCTCTATCTAAGTGTATCCTTGAGCAACTAACCGAGCTTTGTTCCTTGCAATATTTCCAGCTTCATCAGTTTTATTTTTGAAGATCCACTTTGTTCCGATTATGTTGACACGATCAGGTCTTGGTACCAAATCCCAGACATGGTTCCGGTCAAATTGGTGCAGTTCCTCTTGCATAGCCTTGATCCACAGATCATCCTTTAAAGCTTCATTTACACTTTTTGGTTCTATTTTTGAGGTATAGCAGGCTGATCCGGATATTTCTATCAGATTGTTTCTCATCCGACTTCTGGTATTCATCCCATCTGTTGGATCGCCAATAATGTTGTCTGAAGGATGATTTTTCTGAGTTCTGGTGTGCTTGTTCTTACCCACATTATCAGCGAGAGGAGTTTCCTGTTCAGAACTTTCTTGATCTTCATCTGATGAATTTTGTGTTTTGGATCTGGTGTCCTCAGCTGTGTTTACCTCACTAAGAGGGGGTTCTGTCTCTGGATCAGTCACTGATGTTTCTACAGATTTGTCAGATTAATCATCTATAACAACATTTACTGATTCCATTACAGATTGAGTTCTTTTGTTGTAGACTCGATAAGCTCGACTGTTTGGAGAGTACCCTAGAAAGACACTCTCATCACTCTTAGGTTCAAACTTCCCTCTTTGTTCCCTGTCGATCAGCACATAACACCTTGTTCCAAACACATGAAAATACTTCAAGTTCAGCTTCTTCTCCTTCCAGATCTCATATGGTGTTTTGGACGTACCTGGTCTAAGGTAGACTCTATTTACAGTATGACAAGCTGTGTGTACTGCTTCAACCCAGAAACGTTGTGGCAGATGCGATGCATGTAGCATAACTCGAGCCATTTCCTGCAACGTTCGATTCTTTCTTTCCACCACACCATTCTGTTGAGCTGTTCTGGGAGCTGAGAATTCATGGGCTATACCATTCTCGGAGTAGAAATCTGAATATAAAGAGTTTTCAAACTCATTCCCATGATTACTTCTCAGTCTTTGAATTTTTATTATAGGCTCGTTCTTTTCTTTTTGAACCCTTATGCACAAGGTTCTAAAAGCATTGAAGGGTTCAGATTTTTCTTTTAGGAAATATACCCAGCTGAACCGAGAGAAGTCATCTACACATACAAATATGTATTTCTTTCCGCCAATGCTTTCAGTTTGTGTTGGTCCCATAAGGTCTATATGAACCAGTTCTAGGCATCTTTCAGTAGTAATAACTTTTACTGCTTTGTGAGGAGTCCTTATTTGTTTCCCAATGGCACAAGCACCACAAATTCCTTCTTGTTCTATTCTGATCTTATGTATCCCTCGCACAACATCTAATTTGATCATTTTATCCATATCTCTGTAGTTTATGTGACCCAGTCGTCTATGCCATAGTTTTGATTCATCTGATTTAGATAGGCGACAAACATTTTCATTAGTCAGCACATAACAGTTGTCAGAGGATCCTGTTCCTTCTATTACCAGTTGATCTGCTTAATCACTGACTCTGCAACATTTACGATTGAAGCACACATTCTAGTTTTGATCACACAACTGACTGATGCTAATAAGATTTGCTTTCAGACCACTGACTAATAGAACTTCTTCTAGATGAGGTAAACCTGGTACATTTAGAGTACATTTTCCAACTATTTTCCCTTTTTGTCTGTCTCCATATGTAACTGATCCACTGCTTGATTGAATAGCCATAAGACACTTGACATTTCCTGTCATATGTCTGGAACACCCACTATCGAAATACCATCTTGCTTTAGTTGTAGAGGCGGTCAGAACTATAGTGAGATAGCATATTA